TACTGCTGTGTTTCCTGGGAATAGATACTCATCATGGACCTTGCTTCTTGAAGCTCAGGTGGTTCACTGTCATGTAACCACGGTGTGCCAAAATGAAGTTCCTTCACGGAGGGAACAGGAGCAGCCTCCTGAAGGTGCGAAGAGGCATACAAGTCCATGGACTGAAAGCGATCTTGATACAGCTCATATTCTTCATCCACAAGCATCTCTCTTTCTTCCCCCATCTCTTGCAACCTGGGAGTCAGAAATTCACGCATCTCCCAGGCCTCCTTGCTGTTGTCTATCTCTTTTTGTTGGGACTGGAAAGTCTTCCCCAAATCTAGGAACGGCTCATCTACAAGTTCCTCTTGATAATAGGGTTCATCTCTAAATCCCTGTAAATAAAAGTTGCAAAATAATTTGAATTCCCCCTCCTTTAAAGCGGCACTCTATACATTAACTGGAAGGTTAACCCGTGGCAGAACCACAGTGACTACATTCCATGCCCAGCCACAGCTAACTTGAACGGCTCTCCATCACAAAGGAGGAGAAATAAATGCTCACTCCCACACAACCCTCAAAGCAGGAAAGGGACAAACAGTTAAGAGGCAGAAATCTGCCACTGGCAAGGTGAATGACTATTCTAAAAGGTTCGTTACACATTAACCACCTGAAACTTCTCAATCAGAAATAAGAATTTTGTTAACTGCTACATGAATATTTAACTCCTGCATCTCAGAGAAAAGTAGTACATAAATATAGATAACACATCATTCTATTCCCTAAGAAAGCAAAAAACTTAAAAAGTCAGGATTTTCAAGCTTAGCTAATTCAAAATAAATTATGGCTATTGAAATTATCAAAAAGCATTCTCCATAAACTAAAGATATGGGAAGTAGGTCTCAACTACTTTGAGTATGACTATTTTATAATATGCCTATGTAACAGACATGTAATTTTTTCATCTGTACTGAAATTACATGGCAAAAAGGAATGAATACAGAATGCTTTCTAATTAATTTATATTTTACTAATTAGAAGATCAAGTACATGCAACTGAAACTAAATAGTCACATATGTGCAGAAACTTTGTTGAATTCCCAGGTAATGCCTGAGAAATGTATGGGTTTGCTGAGTCTCTAACCTAACCCTGGAGGATCCTCAGAGTGCTGACCACAATGAGGCCCAATTCCTCCTGAGAGATCAGTGACATTTCCTATTTGGAGACCTATTCATTAAATATTACCAAATGTAAATTCATGGAATGAATCACTACTTCCCACCTTTATATTATTATAGCGTATCAAATACAGCAACCTAGTTAATTTTTTTAAAGGTGTATTTACAGGGTATATTTAAAGAAGTCATATACTTATGAAATTTTAACAAAAAATGTTGACACTAAAAAACCCACAATGTACAGTATAGAAATAAACATCAGGGGCACCTGGGTGGTTCAGTCGGTTAAGTGTCTCCGACTTTGGCTTAGGTCATGATCTTGCAGTTTGTGGGTTCGAGCCCCACGTTGGCCTCTGTGCTGGCAGCTTGGAGCCTAGAGCCTGCTTCACATTCTCTGTCTCCCTTTCTCTCTGCCCCTCCCCCACCTCAAAAATAAACATTAAAAAATATGTAAAGAAATAAACATCAGTTTGAGACACTGTCAATAAATTATGCAAAAAATATCACCAGATGGTTGCTATCAAGTAAAGCAAAACCATACACCATTCTCTACCTGCAAAGAGCAAAATAAGCACAATTCATTTTAAGAATAAAAAAGGAAAAGCTTCAAAATATACTTCCTAAAATTAAAGCATAATGATGGTTTTGACTAAATAACTTTTCTTTAGAAAGTATTGAATGAGAAGTCCTTTGGAATAGCTCTGTTTTCTACAGCATTTTAAATGCAGGTCTATTTTCAAACATATGTTCTACCCTCAAAAATTTAAGAGTATATTAGTGATACAAAATCAGATATGTTTGTGCTTTGAAAATGACTCATATCTGGCCTATGTTATTTATGAAGCCAACGTCATACAAGAGGGAAACCATTTCATCTTAAAAAAATTAAAAAGAGAGGAGGATCATTTAATTTGAATCTCTTTAGCCTAGAGAGTGAGAACAAGCTTTTGTCTTCGTTTTTATAGCAATGTTAGCTCACAATAAACCATTCAAATAGGAAATCAATTTACTAAATACCTGGGGTGCTTCGAGTATTAAAGATGAATTTATATCATGAATTGTTTCTGAAAGTTCAGTCTTGTCTTCATTTCTGTTTGAATGTAAAATATAATGACTTTCTCCCTCTTTATCATCTTCCTGAAAATAGAAGCAATTTTTTTTGTTTTTTTATGCACAATTGAAGACATGCTTTTGCCAACTCTGAAGCTATTTTTTATTGACATATAACATTAAACACTGTATCCATTAGATGTACAACATAATAATTCAATATATGTATATTTTGCAAAATGATTATCACAATAAGTTTAGTTACATCTGCAACTTTCAAATATACAATATGGTATTATTAACTGTAGTCACTATGCTGTATATTACATCCACAAGACTTATTTATAACTGGAAGTTTGTATCTTTTGACCACCTTCACCCATCTTGCCCACCACTCCTCACCTCTGGCAACTAAAGAAGCACTTTCATAACCAAGAAAATACCTTAGTTTTGAACTCTCTTCAGATTAATTCTCATCTTTCCATTAAATGCAAGGACACAATAAACTTTGTGCAAATTATGTCATTAGAATGAACTTTAATAATTAAACAGAAAACCATATTCAGGTCAAAGCTTCTCAAATTTTTGTTTTCTTTTTAAGTATTCCCTACACTACATACAAAAGAATGAAACTTGACTGCTTTCTTTCATTAAACTCAAAATGGATTAAAGTCCTAAGCATGAGACCTGAAACCATAAAAATCCTTAAAGAGAGTACAGGCAGTAATTTCTCTGCCTGTGACATCAGTCATAGCAATATTTTTCTATAGGTCTCTTGAGGCAAGGGAAATAAAAGCAAAAATAAACCATTGGGACATCAAAATAAAGTTTCTGCACAGCAAAAGAAACAATCAACAAAACTAAAAGCCACCTACAGGATGGGAAAAGATATTTGCAAATGACATATCTGATAAAGGGTTAGTATAAGAATTGATACAACTCAATACTCAAAAATCAAATAATCCAATTAAAAAATGGGCAGAACAGACATTTCTATAAAGAAGACTTCCAGATGGCCAACAGACATATGAAGTGATGCTCAACATCATGCATCATCAGAGATATGCAAATCAAAACTACAAAGAAATATCACCTCATACCTGTCAGAAGGGCTAAAATCAAAAACACAAGGAACAACAAGTGTTGGCAAGGATGTGGAAAAAAAGAACCCTTGTGCACTGTTGGTGGGAATGTGGACTGGGGTAGCCACTGTGGAAAACAGTATGGAGGTTCCTCAAAAGGTTAAAAAGAAATATCACATGATCTAGTAATTTCACTACTGGGCATTTATTCAAAGAATATGAAAACACTAGTTTGCAAAGATATATGCACTCTTATGTTTATTGCAGCATTATTTACAATAGCCAAATTATGGAAGCAGCCCAAGTGTCCATCGATAGATGAATGGATAAAGAAGATGTGGTATATATGGACAATGGAATATTACTCAGCCATTTAAAAAGAATGAAATCTTGCCATTTGCAACAACATGGACAGAGCTAGAGAGTACAATGCTAAGCAAAATAAGTCAGAGAAAAGACACCATATGATCTCACTCTTATGAGTGAGATGGAATGTAAGAAACAAACGAGCAAAGGGAAAAAGAGAGAGAGAGAGAGAGAGAGAGAGAGAGAGAGAGACAGACAGACAGACAGACAGACAAACCAAGAAACAGACTCTTAACTATAGAAAACAAACTGATGGTTGCCGGGGGTGGTAGGGGAGGTGGATAGGTGAAGGGGATTAAGGGTGCACTCACCATGAGAAAAAAAATTAAAAAAAAAAAGTTTAATGGTTATTTATTTTTGAGAGTGAGAGCATGAGCGGAGGAGCGGCAGAGAGGTGGACAGGGAAGTGGGCTCTGTGCTGACAGCAGTGAGCCCGACGTGGGGCTCAAAATCACGAACAGTGAGATCATGACCTGAGAGCCAAAGTCGGACGCTCAACCAACTGAGCCACCCAGGTGCCCCCGAAATGATAATTTTTTTAAAGAGGAAAAATTCAACAGAGTAACAAACGGAAGTTTCACAAGGTTGTCAGAAGATCAAATTACCAAGTCAGTATCATTACCGCCACTTCAGCAGTAGCTAATTTAATAAAAATGTAATAGAAAACAAGACATCATTCACAAAGGGGGAAAACTCAGTAAATTATCTCAGAATTAAATTTGAAAAACATTGCACAGAACATTTAAGGAGAAAACTGTAAAAGAAGATCTGATTAAATAAAGAGACATACTATGTTTACAGGGGAAAAAAAAGTATTTCTTAAATTAAAAACATCACTTACTACATCACTTACTAGTAAGTAAGGTCCTTACTAAAAAAAGGACCTTAATATTAAGAAATGTATCAGGGGGCACCTGAGTGGCTCAGTCAGTTAAGCTCTGGGTCATAATCTCACGGTTTGTGAGTTCAAGCCCACATCAGGCTCTGTGCTAACAGCTCAGAGCCTGGAGCCTGCTTCAGATTCTGTCTCCCTCTCTCTCTGCCCCTCCCCTGCTTGCGCTCTGTCTCTCTCTCAAAAATAAATGTTAGGGGAGCCTGGGTGGCTCAGTCGGTTAAGCATATGACTTCAGCTCAGGTCATGATCTCACGGCTTGTGGGTTCAAGCCCCACGTTGGGCTCTGTGTTGACACCTCAGAGCCTGGAGCCTGCTTTGGATTCTGTGTCTCCCTCTGTTTCTGCCCTATCCCCGCTCACGCTCTCTCTCAAAAATAAACATAAACAAACATTAAAAAAAATTTTTTTAAATAAATAACGTTAAAAAAATGAAAAGATAAGCCCCATTCACAGTTAACATGAAAATATATAAATATGTTATATTTGTATAATGTATATCTATATGTGACTTAATAAAAAAAAGTCACGTTCTCTTAACTTTTATACATTCATGTCTTTCTGCCCCAAGCTGACTTTGGGCCACCTTCTTCACACTCTCTCCCCCACTTCTGCGAGGACTGAGTTGAAAGCTCAGTAAACTTTATGTGATCAGGTAAGTGACCACCAAGTGGACAAGAGAGAAAGAGACCTCAGAGAAGATCCACACATCACTATTTACAGCTCGTGAGCAAACAGTTTTGCTAAAAGTGCCCAGATGTTAAAGAAGGAATCAATGGTCGTTCCACTAAGAATTTTTTACCATCCTGAAAGTGACCTTTCTCCTCATCCCTTTTGTGGCTTCCCGCTCCCAGGTATCCTGGAAGACTTCTACTCACCGGGAAAAGCCTAGGCAAGGTCTACCTCACAATTACTACATTCCAAAACCCTATCAGAATGTGGCTCTGATATCCTGAAATCTCTGCAGCCCTACCTCTGCCAGGAGCAGCACAGGAATCCACACCCAACTGGTAACTAAGTTCTCTTTTTTACACTACCTGACACTTCCCTTAAACTGCTTCACAGTAAAGTCACGCCGTCCAAGTCCTCCAGGACATAAATAGTTTGGGGATTCCTCTGGCAGCCCAAACAACTAGGCAAATAATCATCGGGTAAAATCTGTACGAAATTCCCCCCCACAATGCGAATACCAAGAAGACGAGAGCCCACATAAAAATATCACACTCCTCCCCCCCACCAACTTAATTTGTCCAGAGATCAAACCAGGCATCTCATGGTGTTGGCTACGGCAACAGTCAAACAGCAAATATGCAATACAAAGTCGAGAACTTGATTAGCTGTGTGCTATACTCCATTTTGAAATATTTAGAGTGCTGGATAGTATAACATACCAGCATCTTTATGGGAAATTCATGAAGGCCATGAGTTTCCCCAGTACATAAATACAGGAATCTATATCTATATATGAACATATCTGTGTCTACCTATATTTATGGACACATGTAGTATGTTAACATACTCATGTAGTATATTGATGCAGTTCTTAAAGATATTAGGAGTTCTCTAGGATTGTTCGGTCTTTTCAGAAATGAAAAAATAGGCTCAGGGAAGAAGAGTGGTGTACCTATCATCAAATTCCTAGTATGATGTTTCTCCAAGTGTGAAATTCGGCATCAGAATTACATTGGTGATTCACTGAAAAGGCAGATCCCTAAATAGCCATCACAATGACTAGATGAAAATCTCTGAGGGTAGGACCTGGAAAACTGCATTTTAACCACCTCCCAGGTGATTAAGTATATTACATATCTTTGAGTTGAAACCCACTAGGCTAACTCATAAGAAAGCTAGAAACAGAGTCCAGGTTTTTTAAAATCCAGTCCTGGCACTCTATGAAGACCATCTGTCTGTTTCAGACAAGCTATGCAAACCAAGGTAGCAACAAGTTAAATATATAGCACTGTGGCTAACAGTGCAGGGTCTGAGGCCACCTTGCTGAGTTTATACTCTGTCTCTTACTAGTTAGATCACTATGGATAAGATGCTCAATTCTCTGTGTCTTGATAGGCTCATCTCTAATGAGGGTAATAAGAACTACCTCTTCAAGTTGCCAAGAGCATTAAATTAGTTAATGCATATAAAGCATTTAATATATTGACATATGGTAAGCACTCAATAATATTTTCATACTGCTTGAAAATTACCTTGAAGTATTTTGTTAATTGGGGAACCTCAAAAGCACCCTAAGTGTAATGTGGCCCTCAGTCATAAACACTAATCTGACCCCATACAAAAGATTAAACAGTAAGTGGGGTGCCTGCGTGGCTCAGTTGGTTGAGCATCCAACTTCAGCTCAGGTCATGATCTTGCGGCTTGTGGAGTTCAAGCCCACATCGGGCTCTGTGCTGACAGCTCGGAGCCTGGAGGTTGCTTCAGACTCTGTGTCTCCCTCTCTCTACACCCCTCCCCCACTCACACACTGTCTCTGTCTGTCTCTCTCTCAAAATAAAAATAAACATAAATAAAAGATTAAACAGAAAGGGGTGCGTGGGTGACTCAGTTGGTTAAGCATCCAACTCTTGATCTCAGCTCAAGTCTTGATCTCAGGATCGTGAGTTCAAGCCCCATGTTGGGCTCCATATGCCCACCACCCAAAAAGAAGATTACGCAGAAAGAGCACTTAAAGATGACTGGCCACATAGACTTCTAGATCCTAGGGGTTATGAGGCACTTTGAGGGCAGCAAAGTGGATTAAAATCTCAAATCTGTATGTTAAAACGATATAGTTACTTGGATTTCAACTTACCATGACATCTCAACATCATTCCCAAGTGAAAGTTAAAATGCACAGATTTTAATTTATATCATAAGGAATGTGATGAGAACTTACAGATCTGTGCTAAAAGCATGAAGCTAAAAATAATAGTAAAAGTGGTAGGAGGACTAGTAACATTAGCAGCTACTATTTATGTAATGTGCTAAGCACTTAATGAACATAATCTTTAGTTCCCCCAAATCTTACGAGGTAGACGTTATGTTGCTAATTTTTTAAGTCAAGGACATAAGAAATGTGTCCTAGGATACACAGAGAGTAAGCAGTGGAACAGGGATTTGAAAGCAGGTGCATCTGTCTCCAAATCCATGTTCTCAACTATTACACTATCATCACTTCCTATAGTAACACAATTGAACACTCACCACCAAGGGCTTACAGATGCCAAGGCGTACAATGCCTGGTGGTACGGCTTTCAACACTTCCACGGCTTCAGCAAGTGTGGTGTTCTCCAAAGAGTATCCGTTGACTGAAACCAGGCGGTCTCCAGGTAAGAGTTCTCCTGCTCTTTCTGCAACACCATCTGCCACCAGGGAACGGATCACAATCACTGATCGTGTGGGATCCAAAGGGTCCTAAAGGATCAAGTAAAGAAGAAACAATGAGTGCATTTCTGAAAATACATGTATTCATGATTCTCATTTGACTATTTATTATAAGTGTCCAGCATTCTGGTGATAGTCTTCCAAATTCTTCTGTTAAAATATCGTTCTATACATCCACACAAATATCAGCTTCTATCAAGGTGGAAACATAATCCTAACAATTTCAGTTACATATCTGAGGGTTCAATACATACAAATTTCTTCTTTAAACTTTTGAAAACTGCTATTTTGTTGGACCACAAGTCTATGGACAGTTGAGTAAGATTCTCTGACATCCTCAAGCGTCCATATTATAGACTAAAGACAAGTCTGCTCTTGGGCAATAAATAGGCTTTAAGAGAAGTATACTATGGTAAATGGTACTTCATTTTTATGTATTGCACCAGTATAAAATCCTCCTGTTAAATCAACGAAGTTCAAAACAGACATGAAATCCATGGAATATCCAACTGCATGACAAAAGTATTTTGAAAATAACATAATTATGGGGCGCCCGGGTGGCTCAGTCAGTTAGGCATCCGACTTCGGCCCAGGTTATGGTCTCACAGCTTGTGAGTTCGAGCCCCACATCGGGCTCTGTGCTGACAGCTCAGAACCTGGAGCCTGATTCAGATTCTGTGTCTCCCTCTCTCTCTGCCCCTCTTCTGCGTGTTCCCTGTCTCTCAAAAATAAATAAATGTTAAAAAAAATAACATAATTATAATTTATAATCTATAACATGATATAGGGACCCCTGGGTGAGAACTATTCTGATATAAGAAAATGACGGGATAGAAGGAACATACTTAAAGATCATAAAAGCCATTTATGAAAAGCCCACAGCTAACATCATCCTCAACGGGGAAAAACTGAGAGCTTTTTCCCTGAGATCAGGAACACGACAGGGATGCCCACTCTCACCGCTGCTGTTTAACATAGTGCTGGAAGTTCTAGCATCAGCAATCAGACAACAAAAGGAAATCAAAGGCATCAAAATTGGCAAAGATGAAGTCAAGCTTTTGCTTTTTGCAGATGACATGATATTATACATGGAAATCCGATAGACTCCACCAAAAGTCTGCTAGAACTGATCCATGAATTCAGCAAAGTTGCAGGATACAAAATCAATGTACAGAAATCAGTTGCATTCTTATACACTAACAATGAAGCAACAGAAAGACAAATAAAGAAACTGATCCCATTCACAATTGCACCAAGAAGCATAAAATACCTAGGAATAAATCTAACCAAAGATGTAAAGGATCTGTATGCTGAAAACTATAGAAAGCTTATGAAGGTAATTGAAGAAGATTTAAAGAAATGGAAAGACATTCCCTGCTCATGGATTGGAAGAATAAATATTGTCAAAATGTCAATACTACCCAAAGCTATCTACACATTCAATGCAATCCCAATCAAAATGGCACCAGCATTCTTCTCGAAACTAGAACAAGCAATCCTAAAATTCATATGGAACCACAAAAGGCCCCGAATAGCCAAAGTAATTTTGAAGAAGACCAAAGCAGGAGGCATCACAATCCCAGACTTTAGCCTCTACTACAAAGCTGTCATCATCAAGACAGCATGGTATTGGCACAAAAACAGACACATAGACCAATGGAATAGAATAGAAACCCCAGAACTAGACCCACAAATGTATGGCCAACTCATCTTTGACAAAGCAGGAAAGAACATCCAATGGAAAAAAAAGACAGTCTCTTTAACAAATGGTGCTGGGAGAACTGGACAGCAACATGCAGAAGGTTGAAACTAGACCACTTTCTCACACCATTCACAAAAATAAACTCAAAATGGATCAAGGACCTGAATGTGAGACAGGAAACCATCAAAACCTTAGAGGAGAAAGCAGGAAAAGACCTCTCTGACCTCAGCCGTAGCAATCTCTTACTCGACACATCCCCAAAGGCAAGGGAATTAAAAGCAAAAGTGAATTACTGGGACCTTATGAAGATAAAAAGCTTCTGCACAGCAAAGGAAACAACCAACAAAACGAAAAGGCAACCAACGGAATGGGAAAAGATATTTGCAAATGACATATCGGACAAAGGGCTAGTATCCAAAATCTATAAAGAGCTCACCAAACTCCACACCCGAAAAGCAAATAACCCAGTGAAGAAATGGGCAGAAAACATGAATAGACACTTCTCTAAAGAAGACATCCGGATGGCCAACAGGCACATGAAAAGATGTTCAGCGTCGCTCCTTATCAGGGAAATACAAATCAAAACCACACTCAGGTATCACCTCACGCCAGTCAGAGTGGCCAAAATGAACAAATCAGGAGACTATAGATGCTGGAGAGGATGTGGAGAAACGGGAACCCTCTTGCACTGTTGGTGGGAATGCAAATTGGTGCAGCCGCTCTGGAAAGCAGTGTGGAGGTTCCTCAGAAAATTAAAAATAGACCTACCCTATGACCCAGCAATAGCACTGCTAGGAATTTATCCAAGGGACACAGGAGTACTGATGCATAGGGGTACTTGTACCCCAATGTTCATAGCAGCAGTCTCAACAATAGCCAAATTATGGAAAGAGCCTAAATGTCCATCAATTGATGAATGGATAAAGAAATTGTGGTTTATATACACTATGGAATACTATGTGGCAATGAGAAAAAATGAAATATGGCCTTTTGTAGCAACGTGGATGGAACTGGAGAGTGTGATGCTAAGTGAAATAAGCCATACAGAGAAAGACAGATACCATG